ATTAAATTGCTGAAATAGCTATGACCACCGGAAAGTCATAATAATTAAAAAATTAAAAGAACAAAAGCGTTTAAAAAAATGTCTAAAATAACACTACACAACTGACTTCTTCGGGCAGTGGAAACATCACTATCAAAACCATCAGATGAATCGGTGTAGTAGTCAGGCCTATCATATTCATCATCACTTTCATCCCATGCTTGTCGACTTCTGAAATACAACCAATCAAATTCTCAGCTTTATCCAAATGTAATTGATAAATAGTAATTGGGTTGTATTTTAATATAATGTAGTCAGCGGCTTATTTAGTAAACCACCAGATGTTTATGTTGAACTGGTTGTTGATTCGGTCACTTCGAGAAAAACTGCTGTTCGGAAAAAGACGAATACACCACAATGGGATGAGCAGATACAGGTAAGCTGGTTTATATAAACATTTACATAAACTTTCAGAACAGTACGTTTTTTTACTGCGTTTTTTTTACTGCAAAGGATAGTATCTTTGATTCAAAATGGTATATCTTTTGCAGCTATGTACCAGGACGGTTTTACATTATATTTACTAAAAGGACCTACGCTGTCACTCGTTTTTCGTTTAAACTACCGGTAAAAAGACTGATATGATTCCATAAGAAACGGTTTTAATCTACAGTGGTTGATAATAAAGCGAGGGCCCGATTATATTTGTAATCGTATGAACTGTTATCTTGAGATCGATTAGCATAAAATCGCGGTTTGGCGTACTTGGACATCTTGTAAATTGATTCGTTCCGATCCACTTGTTTGATGTGCTTTTTCACATTTGATATTTGTGGAAGGGGATCGTTTATCTTGTGATACTCACACTGAAATAGCAGTATCATATTTTAATAGCTTAACGAGTTAGGTAATAAAACTAAATTTACTTTCCTCAAGTTCGAATTCTTTTCATTGTTTTATGCTTAATGCACAGATTCAAGCTCACGAGTCATCGGTTCTTGATTTTCGTGTGTTTGGAAAATCAAAATTGTTCGAGGATTCACTGATTGGTCAGAAAATAGTAAAAATGTCTCATGCAATTAAGAAAGAGGCAGATAATGGAAAATGTAAGTATATAATGGTCTTCCTGTAAATTTCTGGTTTCAGTTTCCTTAATATATATTTGATTTTTTTTTAATCAAATTCTCATATTTTAATTTTTCATTATATAGTAAAAAACATGCTACATCCGCCTTTAATCCTTCTGATTTGAAATTCATAATTATCTCACAACATGATTCTTTTTGATCTGTTAATCGCTTAGCAGTGATATCTTGACCTAAAAATGTTTCCCTGCATCATGTAGCCTTCATTCAAGTATTTCATCAAAAAGTAGATTTGTGGAAACATTGTAGAACTGCTGAGTATTGCTTTGTGTTTAACTTTATTTGCTTTAATTCTTCATTTCAGCGACCTTGTTTTACTCGTTCTGGTTTATAATTGAGTTTTTTTTATCTTAATTTTCTTTGAATATCCGTTAGCGGTGTCATTTCACTAGGACTCTCACGAGTAATATGGTATGGATTTTTCTCGGCAGTTGAAACCGTTGCACTATAAGTTCCGGGAATTTTTTACATCTCTTAACTGAAATGGGTGAGCAAATAGGGAGATATGATTAATAAACATTTATCGAATGTAGAGAAAGGCTTTCAGAATGGAAGCAAGCCTCATTCAATCCACATAAATGCCGATTCGAATGAATTTCATTTACAAGTCAGAAGCATGACCAATCTTCTGCACTCTGATTGGCATTTGCTTCTAGTTTTCCTGTACCACTATGGTATAGCGACCTTGGTTGTATTAAAATTTACAGTGCTAACCTAGATTTCATAAAAGCACTAAATTCTGAGCATCATAAAAGTATAGTGGTATTTTTTATTTGTAATTACAGTTTTCATAATACAGTGGTTATCCTTTTTGTAGTAATATCAACATTTTTTCAGTTGACAATACAAATATGACTCTGCACCTTTCTTCACCAAAAGATATGGCAAGAATAGGCGAACTGAACATTTCGTTATCTGGTACCGTTATACGTTCCAAGAAAAAAAATATGGGTAAGTATGATTTAATTATCAACACTTTTCCAGTTGGAGGTTGCGTGTGGAATAACAGAAAGTAAGGTTATGTAATTTTTTTGCATCTAAATAGGGACAGCGATTTTTCTGGTAACTTGACCGGACGCGCTTTTAAAATGATATGTTGAACAGCAAGCTATATGTTAGCCTTCCTTGCACTGTTAAACTACTTCTGTTCACATAAATATTGGTGTTCTCTTTAAAATGTAAAGTGCCTGAGAAAGACTCTATTTTTTATATACTGTGTTTAATGAATGTCGAACAGATGCTACTGTAAATGAAATGCTTCTGTGATTAGCAGGTATGTAGTGATGTTCTGATTGTCATTTAGTGGTCCAATAGATCAGAGTGATTATCAGCTTTATCCTTTATTTTATTGAAACGCTCTTACCACCTACATAACACAAAAAGGAAGCAATTCTCTTTGTGTATTTGTATCAATAGATAGTCAAGTATTTTCAGTTTCTCCCTCGCAAAAATGATAGTCTGTGAACAGCATGTGCCTGATTGTGATGTTCAACGCAGTTTTAAGTCAGTGGGAATAGAAGGGAAGGTATGTAATAGACTTGTTTGCTTGGGGATGAAGGCAGAAGTTTTAGTGCTAAAATAATCACTCCTGTCAATTTTCATTATGAAGTTAATAATTTTAACCAAATTGCACATTGCTAATGCACGTATGATTTGTTTCGAAAGTGCAGAGAGCTTTATTGATTGAAATGTCCAAATGGAGGTATAACAGCTGATACTATTAAATAATGAGAGCAAAAGAAAATTTTTTTACATTACGTCTGAATAAAGCAGTTTGTGTAGCAATTTTTTCTGAAGAAGACTACTCTTTTACTGAAATAAAAAGAAAAAAAGTGACAATGATTAAAGAAAATTTAGAATGTGGATCGGAGAACCTGACTTGGAACTCTGATGAGAAAATCAATCTCCTCTGCCTTGTAAGCCAGAAAACTGTGCGTCGTATACAAAATTCGTTTTCTGGAATTTTCTTCTAAATCTTACTTGTGTTCTACTTGCACATTAAATTTCTTTCTCTAAAACTGTCGTCCCACCGTTTTTAATTCTGATCATTTTCGTTTCTCTGTCAGTTGGTGCGATTTCCTCCTTGTCATCCCTATAAATGGTTTATTCATTCTTCTTCGTCAGTAATCTGCTAGATATGGATTTGAGAAGGAATGGTGGGGGAAGTGGAATTTGTGAACTTATCCTATTTAGTAGCTTAAGATCTCTTCAAATAATGTTTAGGCAACTATAGAAGATACGTCAAAAATGTAAGTTCCAATATGCTAGTGACTATATAAATTGCCTCTGTTAAGCATATTCTTGCACTGGAATATTTTGTACAGTTTTTGCATTTTGGGCAAAGTATAACATCAGTATGAAGTTTTGTGTTCCTCTAGGTAATTATATCGATTTTCGAAATGTGACTAGAAAACGTTACTGTGTTATACCTATCTTTTGTTCATTTTTGATTAAGATGGTTGAGTGATTGCAGTTTACAGTGATCGCAATAGATAGCGAGTAACCTAGCATTTGAATATGCTGGCGACTTAATGACGACCACTTGTTATTAAGAGAATTTCTGATTATGTTCCTATCATCAAATTAACTGAAATAATTATCAAAGGGCATCCTCGTCGCGCGTGTTATTTGATTAACACATTTTCTCGTGAAAAAGCTTTATGAATTTGCAAATGCGAGCGATAAGTAAACGCGGAGCAGTAAGCTTATATTTTATCTGTCTGTCTTACGTTTTATCTTTTTTTCAAAAATTTTTGTTACTATTGATATTGTGCTTCTGTAATCTTAATGATCAATTGCAGTTGATAATTACCACTCCTCCTATTCCTCCTTCTCCTCCTCCCCTTCCCCTCGTATTATGTCTTCAATTATCTGCATGATTCTTCAAAAATACATCCAGCGTTATTCATTTACCATTTCGTTACTGGACTGCCGAGAATTTCAGATTTTTTTTTGTAATTATTACATCGGGAAATATCATCAGTGCATTGATGAAGCTTGTATATTAGAATGAAATTTTCGTGGTTTTAATGTTTAGCATATCGTTATACACTAACGTTTGTTTTGAATGTTATGTTTGCTTTCAAAACCCGATTCTAGAGTTTTTTCTTTGTTTGATTTGACCTTAGTTTTTTAGCTTCTTAGTTGTTCCTAATTACATTTAATTTTCTCATAGTTCTTGAAAGGTTCTAGGATATTCAGTTGTCATCTGAACTTATTTATCATTCCATTTTAAATTCTTATTCTCAACGATAACTGTGGAATTCATGATGTTTTAGATAGTATGTAGTTTTTAGGAGGCAGTCATGCTGTAGAAGGACACGTCGGTGAAGCATCCACTTCTTGTCCGAGTAATATGGCAAATGGTTGTTTTGTTATTAATACCACCAGCACTACTGTAGCAGCGAATAATGCTAATCGCAAGAATAATTCTGGTAATTTCCACATCAGATTATGCTTACCGCGTATTTTAAAGCTTACAGATGGAGTTCCTGGACATTATTGCAGGAAAAAGTAGAGACACTATGCTTTCACAAACTCATGTTGGTTCAGCCGTAGCTGAAGAACGTTTACCGGATGGATGGGAATTGCGTTACGATGCTTACGGGCGGAAATATTATGTCGATCATATAACAAAGAGTACGACATGGGAGCGTCCAAGCACAACGCCGCTACCATCTGGGCAAGTTATTATTGCATTGAAGCTCATATATAAATGAAGCATATTTCCTTATATCTAAAACCTGCAATTACTGCCTCATGTTTTTGGATTTGAAAATGAAACCTTGGTTCTTTTGTGATACGGATTATTAAAGGGAAAAACAGCATGGATCAGTCATCATTAGGACAATGAAATAAAACATGCTGCTTAATCTCATGTCATTTCTAAATGGCTCTTGCTATTGAAGGTCTCATAGTTTCTGGTGATATGATTTTTCTATGGAAACTTCCAAATTCTAATAAGGACGAATGCCTTCTAAAATACAGTGGACACAATTTTAAGTGCTTTTTTGCAGATGGGAGATGCGGCGTGATCCACGAGGTCGTGTATATTACGTAGACCATAATACAAGAACAACTACATGGCAAAGGCCTACAGCGGACATGTTAGAGGCACACGAATTGTGGCAGTCAAATAGGGATCAGGCAATGCATCAGTGGGAACAAAGATATTTGCTACAGGTGTCACGTTGAACTTCGTTGAACTTTAATACTCTTCGTTTCTCGTTGTAGTGCATATTTATTTAATATAGCGTTCAATTGTATTTCTGCATTTCGGCCTTTCATTATTATATTTTTGATGGTAAAAACAATGATTATATTATTAACGTTTTTATTTTGAATGAATCGGATGTGAATGAGCAGAATTAAGAGAGATGAGAAAGCGGTGTTGAATAAGGAGCAGGATTTCTAAACGATACGAACAAACACCAATAATTGGCAATTTAGTTGCCTATTGTTATGACATTCTCTCCAAACTAAAGCTCAGTGTTGATTGGGGCTTGTAAATCACCAACTTTATTTTTTTGTAATCTATCTTGTTTTCTAGAACGAACTGAGTGGAGCGAAAATGTATCTGCAATCTAAAAATTGATCTAATGTATTAGCAGCTAGGTTTACATAAGTTTTTGCCTAGAAAATAATAATATTTGTTCTAGTCAAATGCGATGATATCAAACGATGACCCGTTGGGTCCATTACCAAATGGTTGGGAGAAACGTGCTGATCCAAACACTGGACGTATATATTTTGTTAATCATGTCAATAGAACGACACAGTGGGAAGACCCTCGTACTCAAGGGTACGTTCAAGCTTGTCTGTTAGTATCTGGTAACTTTTTAGAAAGTGAATAGCAAAGAGGATAAGGTGAGGTGGTTGTTGCTAGATGGCGCGCATGAAGTAAAAGTATTAGCGTTTTGAATTAAATCCAAAATCTACTGAATTTCTAACAAATTTTAAGCATCTTGAAGCGGATTTTGGTTTTCTGGAATGTTCTTGAAGATTTATTTAGAGCTTTTTTTACCTTATTTTGCAATAAGATGAATTTTTGTAGCGTATCAGATGAGCCGCTACCAGACGGTTGGGAAATGAGATTTACGGAACAAGGCGTACCTTTTTTTATTGATCATAATACGAAGTCGACCACTTATAATGATCCTCGTACTGGAAAGCCCGTAGGACCTTTAGGTGCAAATGGATTGCCGATGAGTTTCGAAAGGACATTTAGATGGAAAATAGCCCAATTCCGGTATTTATGTCTGGTAAGTCATTTATTAATTATGTATAAGAATGCTAATATGGATGATACTATTTCTGAAATTGGTACGAGAAGTTTACTAAGTTGCATCATTTGGAAAGGTGGAAATCGCATTCATTACTGTGTGATGTAAGGTTAGATCAGAAACAGTGAAGGAAAAGATAGCTCTGAAAAGCTGCAATCTAGTTTTAAATCTCTCCTCTATTTTTATTCAGTCCTCCAAAGTTTTTTTTCAGTCGAACAGTATCCCAAATCACGTGAAAATTGCCGTCTCACGCAACAGCTTATTTGAGGATTCATACCAAGAGGTGGTTCTTATTATTTAAATAATTGTCAGTTTGATATGACCAAATTAATGAACGAGGCATTACCTGGAAGTATATGGGATATGTAATATATGCAATTATAATTTTATGAAATTTTAGATAATGAAAAAGAATCCGGTGGATCTTCGTAGGCGCCTTTACATACAGTTCCGCGGTGAAGAAGGTCTCGATTACGGTGGCGTTGCGAGGTATGTTTTGTTTTTAATGAGGGCCAGCAGATTTTGGACATTTTTTGGACGCAGAAATATCTTCACATTTTGTAAACGTATTTCTTAGTTTAGAATTTTCTATTTATTTTGAGGACAGGACATTCTAGCGTTTCAAAGGAGGATTTTATTTCAATATTTTTTCAGAACTTTTAATTGGCCATCCACCTTCACGGCATCCTCATAAGGAGGAGGTGAAAGCTTGATGATCTTCATGGAAATGAATTCATCCATTTCAGGGAATGGTTCTTTTTATTATCGCATGAAGTACTCAATCCTATGTATTGTTTATTTATGTATGCTGGAACAAATAATTATAGCTTGCAGATCAATCCTGCCTCTTTTATTAATCCTGATCATTTGAAATATTTTGAGTGTATTGGGCGATTTATTGCCATGGTATCTTCTTTTTGAATTTTCGTTTTCGCATATTTTCTTACGTCTTTTTTCAATTTTTGCTGTGTTGTGGTTGGAATAAATTAATTTTATTTGCTACTATCCAACTGAGCCTTTAATTGTTTAACAAGTAAATAGAGATGTCTTGCACTTTTTGCATCTTACGTGGTCTCGCAAAAAGAAAAACATGGTGCAAATATTTTTTAATCCTATTTTACTTATTAAATTTTCAGGCCCTTTTCCACGGGAAATTTATTTATAGTGGATTTACGATGCCTTTTTATAAAAAAATGCTCAGAAAAAAGTTTACGCTGAAAGATTTGGAGAGCGTTGACGCTGAATTTTACAACAGTTTAATATGGATCAAGGACAATAATGTGGATGAATGTGATATGGAACTGTATTTTGTTGCTGATTACGAGCTATTGGGTGAAATTAGAACTCATGAATTGAAGGAGGGTGGTGCTGAATTGGTACGTGCTTGCTTACTTCTAACTTATTTTTAATATATGATGAACAAGAGTTGAGATTTCTCGTTGTTACGGGGTGATAAAGAAGTTTGTACCATTTGTGTGCTCCAATAAAGTGTTGAGGTTATGCATACGGTGCCGTTAAGATTTTCCTAGAAAATGTTCATCACTTTTGAACCTCGTTATTGTATTGTTCCATGGTTAGATTCAGTTCTTTACATGCTGTCTTTTGTATTATTAGTGCATATATCTTGATCTTTCTGTCTTTTCCCGATAACAGGGAAGGTAGGGATTCTTCGTTCCTGGTTGTATTTAGTATTTTTAGTTACTACTAAAAAAGCTTTTCTTTGTATTTTTATATTAAAAATTTTGTTTCATTTTGATAGACGCATAACGGAGATGTTTTGTTTCGTTCTTTCCCTGATATGATTAACCGCTATCAGTGCATGACTTTGAAATAATTGTAAATTTATATTGTAGAAAGTATGCGAAGAAAACAAGGAAGAATATATTGAATTATTGATGGAGTGGCGGTTTAACCGTGGTATTGAACAACAAACACGGTCATTTTTCACCGGTTTCAATTCTGTTTTTCCACTCGAATGGTTGCAGTACTTCGATGAGCGTGAGCTGGAACTGCTGCTGTGTGGAATGCAAGACGTCGATGTTGATGACTGGCAAAGGAATACTGTTTATAGGCATTATGCACCACAAAGTAAACAGGTAAATCGTGATAATTTCAGTTTGTGGAAGTTATAAGAAATGTATTGGCGTATTTTCTGATCAAATAGGGCTTCATAATAGATGCAGAGAGAAAGAGTTAGTGGTGTTGCCCTTCCCATTTTATTGTCTATGATTTTTTATGATTATTTTATTAAGTGCGATGGGAATTGTTACAGTACTCAGTGTCGTCGTTGAAGTTTCCTTTTTTCGATGTAATTGTTTCTATCGTGAAAGATGATATAGTGATTAGTTTTGATGTTGGAGATATAAATCTGTGCGACTAATCCTTTATTATTTTTCATTTACTTTTAATTCTACTGTTTAATTTTTTACCACTTAACTCTACCGTTTTACTATTTACTATTTAATCAGTTTCATTTCATCAGAATATATGCGAGTTAAATGATAAAAGCAAAGGAAAAGATGAATGCACGGATGTACGGTCTTCTCTGTAAATTTTTCTTACGAAAATCGTTGCCTTTAATGTGCGTTTAATTTAGGTCTTATGGTTTTGGCAGTTTGTCCGTTCACTTGATCAGGAGAAGCGCTCGCGCCTTCTCCAGTTCGTTACGGGAACTTGTCGGGTACCCGTTGGTGGTTTTTCCGAGCTGATTGGTTCAACAGGTCCGCAATTATTCTGTATTGAACGAGTTGGTAAGGAGAACTGGTTGCCACGATCGCACACTTGCTTCAATAGACTCGATCTGCCACCTTACAGATCTTATGAACAGCTCGCTGAAAAATTAAATAGAGCTATTGATGAAACGGAAGGCTTCGGGAATGAATGAAGCTGTAAATACATGGCACTCATATATATTTTCTTTGAGATGCTATAGCTTCTTACTGGATTTTATTTCTTACATAAAATTACCGTCTTGTAAGTAAACTCGACTTCAACACATAATTTTATAAGGTTTAATAATTCAGATGTAATTATGAAGACTTTACTCGATCCTTCCCAGTCTTTCCAGTTCCCATGAACACATTTTACCCGGTTCATCACATTACTGTTAATGATTTCAGTATGTTAATTCATATGCCTCTGGAATTATCTTTATCGCTTCAGTGACTTCCTTGAGTTCAGTCTTTCACTTGTCTTCTGGGAAGTAAAACGAACATTTCAAAATGGAGCCACTTTATCTAAAACAAATGCACTGAAGCTTATTAGGACCGTAAGTTCTCAGTCATAAATCTAGCCAGTATATATTATTATATCGATTCGTTTGTTTGATACTGGTGGTAGTGCAACTAAATGGTGCATGGTGTCATATGCGAACTAAAAGGCTTGCGAATTCTTAAACCATTATGTTTAATATGCTTGTTAATTCTATTTAGTTGTAATTTACTGTTTTCGAAATTACGAATATCATTTGCTGATGAACGGCATTTCTTACGAGACATAATACAAGTCAAAAAATATTTTTCATTTTTCTTTGGACAGGTTGAATCTGTGATATCATTTTTTTTTCCCGTTGTGATACGTCAATCATTAGTTGATACATTTTCGTGGACCAAATAACTCTTAATGCTATTATTACTCCCTGAGCACAGTACTATTACTATCACTGCTGTTATGTGTTCACTGAAGTTAAAATGTGTGAAAAATCATTGGTAGCGTCAACTTTTTCCATGTGTTTTTTTCATTATAGGAATGTGAAAACTTCCACATTTTTATGTGTGACAGGACACATAGTTTTAGGTATTGCGAACATCCGCGTTATCTGAAATGTAGATTTATTATATTCAGTCTCGGATAAATATGATATTATTGAGAAATCAGTGGAAGAACTTATCACTATACCTTCAATCTGTTTTTCTGAGTAGTAGTTTACACATTAGCCTATGGGACAATGATTAATCTAGTTTTTTTAGAAGTTGTGGAATGAAAAGGTATTATATTAAGTGGTCTAAACAAGACACTAACAGTAGGACGACTTCGACAGCATGGTACTCAAATTTGAATGCTAGGAACTGATATTAGAGTAATGCCATAATAGCAGTAATTGTAAAATTACAAGCAAATGAATAGTCCAAAACAAAGCAGACAAAAAGGCCTTGGAGTTTCCCGCGAAGCCTAAGCCTTAGCTTAAGAAATAAAAACTCCCATTCTGCAAGCTGCAGCGGTACAGATAATGAACGAGAAACAGTTAACATAGTCGATATATAACCGTATTATGTACAGAAATATAGGTGGGAGGAAGTTGAAGTCGTCACAGGCAAAAACAGAAAAGAACCAAGCAAATGTAGTGATTATGAAAGATTAGAAGCAGCTGGAAGAGGATAAACAGTATATTTGTTCCATGAGCTCAAAACAGGAAATGATATAGCGTTTTATGTAGATAGGATACCGATTCGATTAATCTCATCTGGGCCCACTGTAGTATTTTTTAGATCAGAAAAAGCCGTAAAAGGTGAAGAAAGAACTTAAGATTACTCACTGCTCATTCTCCTAATCAATCATACCAGCTGATACAGACTGCCGTTAAAAACACAAAGAACAACGATCCATATCATGAAATTGTAGCAAATTGTTTGTAGCAGGAAAATACAATGAAGATAGTTAGTTCTGAATGCTTAACAAAGGGTGCTAAACTAATCTGAAGCATGTAGCTATCAAATTTTAAACAGTAAGTGATTGATTCGGAAGTTGAACCACTTCCCGTTTTAGCGGTAAAGTTGAACATGGTAGCAACCACAATATCATCGGTCCTAGAAATCAAAGCAAATTTCAGTGATCCGTAGATGAAACAGTTTCGTTCAAGATGTTAAGATACAATTCACCTTTTAGTTCGCAGTTAATTCTTATTATGTACACAGCAACGAAAAGGTGTTGCTAGCCAGGGGAAAAGTAGTGTAAGAGGGGTAAGAATAACGGAAAAGAAATGACAACTAATATAATTTTCTTATTCTCAACTGTACTTACCATTGCCACAAACTTCTCGTACCAAAGGACAACTAATATAATTTTCTTATTCTCAACTGTACTTACCATTGCCACAAACTTCTCGTACCAAAGCTATTTTTGAGCGTGATAGAGCTATTCGATTGCGAAAACTTTTGCGCTGAGCTGCTTCCACTGCCGTCTCATCATTCAGAACTGCTTGTATCTAAATGAAGGTCATGAAAAAGACTTAAGAATGTTGCAGAATATTTCTTGCTTATAATGACGTTTGCTTTTTACTAAATTACCTGATCGCAAGAAACGGCCAAAACGAACAAACCAAATAGCGCGCTTTCGATAGACAGGAAAACTGTATGCAATCTAAAAGTAAGTAACAGTAAGTTTTTCCACAGAATACTGAAAATATTTAAATTCTTGTAGGGGCTAACATTTTCGCATGATGTACACTTTGTCCATAAGGTCCCTTTATACCGGTAATGCTATATTCGTCGTGGTGTACCCAAGCTGTTATTATTAAACTGAAAAAAAAATAAGTCTGATGTTCAAAAAGAAAAAATTGAGTTATATGAAAAAAAAAAATGTACGCTGCATTTGTTAAAACTACGCTGTGTAAAATAACGGAAGTAAAGACAAGACGAATGTCAGCTGTTAAATTAAGTATTTTTCAGTTGGCAAGGATGTTGGAGATTTTAACAAAATGCAAAGCTACAATGCTGAAAAGTATTCAAAAAACATATCTTAGAGCATATCCTGAGGATAAGCCAACATACAATAGAAACTGAAGGAAATATTTCTGGTTGTACTCGCCAACGCAGTTATTGACCCACGGACCTTAAAACATTGAATATCGAATAAATATTTGGGAGCAAATGTGACGAAGATTTTCAACGAATGACATTATTCATTTGATATCCGTTTTTATTTCATTTATTCCCTCAATCTGAATCCGAAAAGTTTTGCATATTATTCCCAAGAAATCCTCTAAAACGAGACCCACTGAAAATTTGTTCGATATAAACGATAATCTTTTCTCAACTTGAAGTTCTCTCTTCACCAAACCAACTCAAAAATTTAAAAAATAAAATCCAAGAGCAGGCCTAAACCACTATATGCCACACATGCTACACCTTTTTCGCATCGATCTTCCAAAATTTATTATGCGTGGTAGAAAATATTATCAAGTACGAACTATACAAAAGACATCATGAATCTATTTGGTGAGGGGAAAGTAACGTGCTTAATAAAGCGTAGTTATGTGTTAAAAATATAGTCACGCCACCACTGAAAATGTACTGCTCTCAATGACAGGACGATTTGAAAGGAATGGTACTTCGTCCTTAAGCAGATTCAAGATAAAGACTGCTTACTACCCACGACTAGAAACATAAACTAACAGTGATGGTCCATTTTTCGAACACAGCGACGACAAATACGGCAATGATGTGCTCGCGGTGGTCTGTAAGATTCGCATCGAGTACAAATTGTCCAGTCCTTCCCCTCGAAAATTATCCAAATTTTATTGCGAGTTTTTATGTGGTTTCAAAATTCCTCATAATATAAGATTCAGATTTCAGCGTTAATCAAGTTAATTACACAGTGTCATTTTGTGCCTAACCTACAATCGATTATCAGTAGATTAAGCATGAACGGCCTATGACGACCGTATTTAAAAGTTGATCGAGATGTAGGATAAATGATGCTATCATGGAGGACTAAACAGGATTAAATAAGATGTATGCTTACCACAAATTTATTTTCTTCTCCTACCAACTCCAAATCAGTATCCGTACTATTAGATTCACTATCAGAAAGCAGTTTTGGAAAACGATTTTTATTACAACGTAACAATCTGCAAAAATGCAGAAAACAAAAACACAAATAGAAAACAGAAACTCGACGACTAATAACTCTTCTCCAATTAATACTGAAATTCCGCAATCCTTGACAGAAAATTCTTTTAAATAATTAAACAACAGTTTAAACTAAAAGTGAAAGTCATGGTAAAATTTCCGCATATATATATATATAGCTGTCTAATGTGAATAACTGAAGAAGAGGATCACGCTAATTTGAGATCTCAGCTTTCTTAATTTTAACAGCACCTAGACTACATGAAGACTACATACTAAAAGTCAAATAATGCGTAATTAAATCACTGGAAAGCAGTTACGAATTAACGCACCCTTTCCGACTGATAGGTACAACGCCTGGATCCGTAACCATTGCTCGCAAATGAGATGCAAATGCGAAAAACAACACTGTATTAAACATCACTGCATGCAATACACCCCATAAACTGCAACTACTAATAGAAAATATTACAAGTTATTGCTTCACAAATATTGTTTTCGGTCAGATTGTATATATATATATATATATATATATATATATATATATATATATATATATATATATA